TTTTGCCACTGCCATTCCTGATGAGCCCTCCTAGCACGTGGTTGACTGGGCAACATTCCCAAGGTTCTTGCCAAGAGCCAGCTTAGAGGCTTGGAACCTTTTATCCTTGTTTCCCCTGGGATTGAGTTTGGAGGGCATAGGGCAAGGGGGTGTGGAGAGTGGAAACAGGGCAATGAAGTGGACTCTGGAAATATTCTTCTCTCCTTGCAAAGAAAAAGTTAGAATCCTCTGGGGTGGTCGTAGACACTTTTTAGGAAATTTGACTCACTCAAGGTCTCACCCTGTGTGGAAATACATAGACTGCCATTTTGCTTAGGTTTTGAAAATCCCACTGTCAAGCCATTTCTGAATGATTCCTCTAGGAAAGTATTTAGGTTTTATAGCCACTAGCTTAACCCCAATTTCTCAACTGTTTTCAGTACAGTTCAGAGTGGACAAATAAACTTCCAGAGGCAGGCCAGTACTGCTTCTGTCGGTTTATAGTTTGATAAGGATGTCTTTCTTTAGCCATGCTCACACCTCCCATGTTGGGTTTTCTTTTTCCCAGCAAGCACAGTGTGGCCTTGATCTTCGACATATCACCGTGGTGGAGCTGGTGGGTGTGTTCCCGACGCTCATTGGCAGGATAGGAGCAAAGATTATGCCTCCAGCCCTAGCGCTGCAGCTCAGGTAGGGGGAAGTTCTGTTCTTAAATCTTATCCCCTATGAATGTACTTTTAACTGATTAGGCTCCCTGGTTTCTTTCTATTCAGGATTGAGTTCAGGTAACCTTCAATGTTTAATGGCTTTTAGTCTAGGAGTGTTATAACCATGCTAATCAGCATGTTGCTGTTTGTTGAAGTAAACTGTGCAGTGGATAATTACCAGTGTTTTATTTCTTTCACTCTCCAACCAATCATTTTTGCTTCGTATGTGTATGTGTGTGTGTGTGTGTGTGTGTGTGTGTGTTTGGTTGGTGGAGGAAGGATGGCTAGGAGAGGAGGACCTGAAAAAAAGACCTAAGTAATCCTTGGTCTTATTAGAAGTGCAGGCATCCAATTAGTGTTTCCAGGCTTGGTCTCTTTTTTCTCCATGCCTCCAGAACACTCGTCCATACCTCTATTTTAATAATTATACTTTACTTTCATAACCCTTACAAAGTTGGAGCCATGGATTTTAGTCTCTGAATGATGATGTATTAAAGAAATAGAATTCAACAACCAAAAGGTAATTTCAGAATAACCCAAATTTCTACTTGCATCTCTTGACCACTGTGAAATGGAGAATTAGGCTAAAGCAAAACTTCTTAAAATCTTCCTTTCTCACCCAGCTTTTTCTCTCATACCCTGTGTGGGAGGGTACAGATCTCTGTTCTTAGGGTCCCAGGCTGCTCCCTGTCTCTCAGGATCTCAGTGGCTACAACATTTTATACATCAACATCCAGAACACATGGCTTTCAGGCTCCTGCAAAAGGGGGGAAAGAGTGTAAAAACTCACACCCACTGCTTTATGCTTCATGTTGGAGATGCCACACCTTGCTCACTCTCCTAGTTCATTGGCCAGATCTAGCTACATGATTGCAATTCACCTTTAAGAGGGGCTGGGGAATGTAGTCTTTCTGTATTGCCAGAAAGAAGAAAATGAAATGGGACTTGGTGAACCCTATCATACCTGTTCAGAGGGCACAGAAATTCCTTGAGAGGTTATATGATAGAAACAGATCCTTAGCAAATGATGCTATAGATTGGCACAAAAGCTTCTTTCTCGAATTTCCCTGTTTTCCAGCTGCCTTTGGCCCATCCCATGTTTGATCTATACCACTTTCCACCCAAAAAAATTCTGCTGCATTCCCACTAAGGTAAAAAACTCAGAGGGCCAGGGATGGAAAAAAAATAAAAGGATTCACGAGTTCTCTTTAGTTGGTCGATGAAGGTAGAAGGCTGGGTACACTCATATGCTTTTGTATTTGTTTTATTTTACTGCATTTGCATCTAGCACCTCCCCATACCAACTTTTGAGGTCAGTAGCAGAGCTTTTGAATATTTGCTACTCAGTACCTCGCACAGTAACTGGCACCATGTTGGCACTAAGTGTAGTAAATGACTCAAAATTTCATTTAAACAGCCTTACTATTTCCAGAGGTGATAATAGCTTTTAAGAATATATTGTATATTTACAATTAATATACAGATACTTCAAGTAGAAATGTACAAAAGTTAAGACAGAGAGCTGTGTTATCAACACAGCTAAATATTTATAATTAGTATTTTCAAAGTAGGTTTTATGAAGCTGTTGCTTATTTATAACTACTTGCTCATATCCTGTGTCAATGGTTTTTTAAAACTTGTTACAGAATTTTCTGAATGGTTTTTGGATTGAATATGTGTGTGTGTGTGTGTGTGTGTGTGTGTGTGTGTGTGTGTGTGTGTAATCTTCATAAAATCTTGATGTGATTTTAAACTGTTTAATCTACTTGAGGAACAGAAAAATGTGATTAAAATACTTCTATCATTCAGATTGTATATGTTGGGGCTACCATAGACTTCTATAGGTTGAAGATGATTTTAAATACATTATGTAGTGGTTCTGAAACTTTTAGCCTGCATCAGAATCCCCTAGAGGGCATGTTAAAATACGTATTGCTGGAGTCTACACTGCGGGCTCTAAACTATAAATCATAATCAATTTCTGACTCAGTAGGTCTCTGGTCGTATCTGAGAATTTGCATTTCTAGTGAGTTCCCAAGGGACCACATGGTGAGGACCACTGGCTTAGTTTTTTACCAAAGACTTTATTTACAGTTTTGAAGTAGAATTTTTTCCCAGAAGCCTTCACAAAAAGGATCAATCTGTATTGTGCAGCTGGATGATAGTCCAGGTAAATGTCATGCAGAAATGATCACTCAGAAATGATTATGCATTACCTAATGGATTCGGTGTCAGGTCAGCATGCCTGTGTTATCAGACATATCAGTGAGAAACAAAGAACTTGGCAGGACTTTTTCCCTTTGAATTGGAAAGGTTTCTTTAGACAGCTTTGATTGTAGTGCAGAGGAAAAAAGATGCTTTAGGCAAAGAACGGGAAGGTAAAGAGGAGAAGGAAAAACACAATGCCTGGATAATCTAAAAATTCTCTTGTCTGGCTATAATACTATTTTCAAATAGCATCGAGGCCATGATAAAACCGTTGAAGGGAGTCAATGGAAAGAATAGATTGGGTGCCTGGTGTTGCAGGATCACCACCTGCCTTCTTTCTTGCTCTCATTTCTTTTTTGTCTGAATGTATGAGCTGATTCATGCTTTCTAGAGGAATTTTCCAGCAATCTCAAGGATGACAGGGATGAAGAAAGCCATAATTTCTATACCCACATATTCTTTGAGTCTACAGAGTTCCCTTGAAGATTTTCCAGGAAGAATTCCTTCCAATCTGACAACAGACACATATTTAACTCAGAAATACTGTCAGCATCACACCTCATCCCATATTCTATGTGGTGTTCAATCATTCATCCCTAAGATTTCTGTGGTCTTTCAGCCCTAGTGGGAAGCATTCCTGTGGGTGCTGCTAGCCTGCTGATCTAACCACTAAGCTCTTCCCATGATAGTTTCCCTCTTTACATTCTGTGTAAATCAAGGCACAAGGCTTACACAGGAATGTGTGTGATAGCAGATGGTGGCACCGTGGTGGTGGTGGGGGATTCCCATCCTAGCCTCACAAGCATGATAAAAAACCTGAATGCTCCTCTTATTGGTCACCCTTTCCCAGAGGCTTCAGCCACCACATTCCCTATGCCTCTCTTTCCTGAGAGCTCCCTGTGCCAGAACTCCCCCACACTCCCAAAAGAAAACTCAATACCTTTCTTCTTAAATATGCAGAGCAGTTGATCTCTTCACTTGCACCTTACTTTGCAGCCTACATTTGCGTGTTCAGAACTCATTAATGTACTTTGCAATCATTTGTTTCCGAGGTCTCCTCTTAGCACCACAGGAAACCTGGCAGAGGCATTGTCATGTCCTCTTTCTTTCATTTCTAGTCAATGGGAATGAATTGGCAATTTATCTCCCCACTGGGATAAAATATAAATTAATCCCTTCATCCTTGAAACTCCCTCTTAAAAGGCAGAAAAAGTACAGTTTGTGTTTTATGTAACAATTTTTTTAACCTTGATCTGTTTGTATGAGGAAAACATATTTTACTTTAAATCCAGATGGTAGTGTATATTCTGCTTCATACACAATCTCAAAATATCTAAACTG